GTTCGCGGACCCCGTTCATTCGCGTCCAACGCGCGTTTGAATGGGAAGTGAACGCGAATTGAACGCGCGTTCAATTTTTTAACGCGGACCCCGCGTTAAATCGATTTTCGGACACACAGGATGGTGGTGCTCAAGGTGCACAAGGGCACCTTCCGATCGATCACGAACACTGCGGACACCGTCATCTCTCCGGCGGCGGACGTCTGCTTTTTCGTCTCCCGGTGGTACAGACCTTCTGTCAGGATAGGAGCCTGGAGGTGGAGGAGTAGTATGGCGTCAGACCTAACCTCTGGTGGGCCATCTCATCAGTAGGGGAATTCTATGCTAACCTGCCGGAGAAGGTCTATTCTGTCTTCACGGCCGATATCACGAGGTGCTTCGAGACAATCCCGACGGACGACTCGAAAGACAGTCTCACGACTGCTGTCAGATTCTATGTGCAATCCGCTATGCAGACGAGAAGGGAGAGGAGCTCCAACCATGCGATCCTGATCAAATTCGGGGAGGGCGGTGGACTAAGGCCAACGTGGGTGGATGCTAGGCAGCCGGAGGAGATGGGCTCGTTACTTTTCAAGGAAGGGGACATCTGTTGGCTCTCGGAATGGTGCATTGCTAACAGCATAGTATGCATGGGAGAGTACGCATGGAGGCAGGTAAGCGGCATTCCCATGGGGTTGGCATGCTCCCCGATTTGGTGCGACATCTTCTTTTCAAGTACGAGTATCATGCGATGATGAGGCTGGTGGACACTGGCAATGCCCATCTGGTTCCGTACTTCGATAAGACCTTCAGTTATGTGGATGACCTTGGCGCGGTCAACAACGCCATCATCAAGAGTTTTCTGGAGAAGGGCGAGAGCCGACAGTCGGATGATCCCTCCTGGATATACATGGCGCAATACATTGAGATCAAGGAGAATACGGAGGTTGACGAAGAAGGGTTTGGACGTGTTGCAAGCTTTCTCAGTGTGACCCTCACTGTCACCTCACCTGCAGACGGCTCCTACTCCACCTCTAGGCATGACAGGCGCATGGGACTGGTCTTTGCTCCCTGCAGGTTCATCAAGTTCAGATCCAACAAGAGCATCAGGCAGTCAATGCAGATCATCACGGCGCAGGTGGCGCAGATTCTTCTGCTATGCTCAGAACCGGAGGATGCGGCGAATCAATTGGCAGGAATCGTGGCAACAATGAGGGACAATGGGTTTGCGGCGAGCGCATGCTGGGCAGTGGTGAAGAAGACCCTTCGAAATGCTAACCTCTACCAACCTGGTAGACTGTCCGTTCACATGATCAAGGAGGCCCTTGCCGATTTACATGGGATTACTGACTAAATGGTGTGTTCGTGTCTGTATGTGTTCGTGTCTGTATGTGTTCGTGTCTGTATGTGTTCGTGTGTGTGAGGTGTCCGAGGGATGACGGGGCCGAAAGGGCCGGTTGTCCTCCGAACAACCATCCCCTTCGGCCCCGGTCATCCCTCAGAGGGAACGGGGTGGGGCACACACGCACACACACACACACAGGTACACGGGGCGATTGTTCATTTATAGGGACAGGGGAGCGGCCCGGGCCGACGAAGCGGGCTCTGTAAGAGTGTGGTTTTCATTTTTTCACTGTTATTTCTTCATTTTTTCACCTTTTCTCCTTCCCTCCGTTTCTAATCCCTGCCTTCTGTTCCACATACACCCCCCCTGTATTTTGTCCTTTGTTCCTTTTTTTCGGTCTTTCTCCTTCTTTTCTTTCTCTCTTTTTTCTTTTTCCTTTTTTCTTTTTCCTTTTTCCTTTTTCCTTTTTTCTTTCTTTCTTTTTTTCCTTGGTTCCCTGCTTCAAATATGCGCGCTTCTGATCACCCCTTCCGACGAAAGTGATGAGACACGACCCCCGCCTGGAAATGAACGAGGCCCTTTCCTAAGGAGAGGCCGCCCCCCCACGACTCGGAAAGATAGGACACGTACGGAGGGACCGGGGGATATCACATACTAAGAATAAAGCCAGACCATGGGCTAAGCCGTGGACCGATGATGGCACAGTCCCGTTTTTTCGTTTTAGCTCGTTCCCCCTTCCCTTCTTTTCCTTTTTCTTTTTTTTGTTGCGTAGAATTGCGGAAATAAACGGGTGGATGTGTGAGGAGGCTTTCATCGGAAGGCCACGATTCCCAACAGGAGTTGGACTATATCAGGAGCTAGCATAGGCGGTATTGTTCATCGATCCACCGGTTCTGCGGGTGCTTGAGCGAGGCGACGTGTGACATGGACTTCTTCGCCGACTGGGACCAGGTGGAGGAGCAACCAGAGGCGGAAGAAGCGGCAACGATCCAGGCGTGAGGCTCTCTCGTCAATTTTCTGCTGCCCCGACCATACCTCGGCTCCGCGCCATGCAAACCGACGCGATATGCCACGCGCAGCCTGCCCTGCTCTCCCCGAGCTCGATCACACCGACACTGGGCACCTACCTAACCCTCCTCTTTCTCCTCGCCTTGCTCCCTAACTTCGCCATTGCCTGCCTACTCACGGTCGCTTGCAGCTCCGAGAGGATCTTTCTATGTGCCTCCTTTAGATGCTTCGCACTGCTAATAGCGTGCACCATCTGCTTTATCTCTTTGTTCCTGGCCTGCTGTTGCTGCCTGTTTTTCACGATCGGTGCTGCTTACGGATTACTCGTACTGGTTGAGTAGCGCACGGCGGGAGCGATGGAGTCGAAGATCGCGACGGGGACTTCTCCGCATGTTTTCTTAGCTTTTTTGTCCTTCCTTTCCTTTCTCTCCTTCCTATTCTTCATATACTCTCTACCCTCTCCTCCACCACTTGGATTCTGTCCCCCCCTTCCCCCCTCCTCGGATTCCCCCTCCTCCATCATGACCACCACCCCCACCCCCCATGCTTCCCCTCGTACTTCCACACCCCCTCCACCTTCCAAAGACCATGGAAGATGCCCTCCCCCCCTCTGATGACGCCCCGGAAGGCATGGGGCAGAAAAGCGCTTCAGGGATTTGCCATGCCCTCCCTGCGATTCGGCGAGATGGTCTGTGTGGAGGCAGGAGCACGATAGGCCTGGAGGACAGAGCTGAAGCAGGGTCTCCCTTTCCCCGCCCACCCATTCCCCTTTCTCCCCCCCGTCCTTTCCCATTCCCCCTTCATGTCCTTTGCTAGTCGGAGGGTAATATGTGAAGTTTTCTGTCTTCCCCCTTTTTTTCTTTTTTTCTTTTTTTCTTTTTTTATCTGTGCTGTTTTCTCTTCCTCTCTTTTCCGTATTCAAAATAGTTGAACGTTTTATGATCTGTGCTCAGAAAAGACTAGAGGAAACATATTGCATCCATGGCTTCTCAATAAATGTATGGAAGGTCTTGTTTCGTTTTTCTTTTTTAATTCTTTCCGTTTCTTCTTCTGTTTCTTACTCTGGTTCTTTTTTCGACTTCTCTTCTCCTTTCCTTGTTCCGAGTCTTTTATCCTCGTATTTCGTCTTACTACCTTCTTTCGTGTTTCTCTTCCTCCCCCTCCATCCTCCCCGTAATCTTCCTCTTCTCCTCACCCCGTCTCCTCCTCGCTCCTTGAAAGATAGAACGTATAGTGTCGGAGTGATTGTTTGCACAGTCTGGGGAGGGTATACATGGTTTCTCTTCCTCCCTTTTCCTTGTTCGGAGTAGTTATACGTTTTATGATCTGTGCTCAGAAATGACTAGGAGAGATAGATTGCATCTGTGGCTTCTCAAAGGTTGTATGAAAGGTCTTGTTTCGTTTTTCTTTTTTCCTCTCGTTTTTTCTTCTGTTTCTTATTTCGATTCTTTTTTTCGACTTCTCTTCTCTTCTCCTTTCCTTGTTCCGAGTCATTTCACCTCTTACTTTGTCTTACTACCTTCTTTCGTATTCCTCTTTCTCCCCCTCCTTCCTCCCCGTAACCTTCCTCCTCTCCTCACCCTGTCTCCTCCTTGCTTCTTGAAAAATAGAGCGCATAAGGTCGAGGTAATTGTTTGTATAGCCGGGGGGGTATACATGGTTGTCTTGAGTGTCGAATGTATGAATACTGCATGTAATGATTCCTCTTCAAAAGCAGGCCCTCGCCCGACTCCCTTTTCGTCCTGCGCCCTCCTTATGTGCCCACTTACTTTCGGCTTAATCGGCTTATCTCGCCCTCACCACAAATGGACATACGATTGGGCTTTACCCGACCGCGTTTGCAAATCGCCTCCGCGCCTTGCCTATTGCCTGCGGTGTGCCGACATGGTCGGAGCACTACGGGTATGACGTCTCGTGCCCGTGCGCATCTCATGTTACACACACATGCTACACACACACACACGCACACACACACTGAATATGACAACACACACACATACACACAAACACACAACAAGAATTAAAAAACGAACAAAAAAACACGCGGGCAAATGCAGGCCAAGAGTGGGGAGGGGGGGTGGGTGGAAACTCCGCCCAGGTGCAACGACACCTTCAAAGCGGGGAGCGCCGTGGAAGGAGCGTCGGGCAAGTGGAAGTGGTGCTGTGAAGTGATACCTTGGGAAGCGGGATGGGAGCGTCATGGAAGGAGGGCAGTGGCACTGCGAAGTGAAAGCGGGCTTGCCAATGGTGAGCGGGTGGATGCTGGGACGCGCCATGTGGAGAGAGCCGGCCATGGAAGAGGGGGAGAGCTGTTGCAAGGCAAGTGGAAGAATGGCGAAAGTAGGGGGAGCGCAGGCGGGAAGCAGAAGGAAGGGAAGCAGTCCAGGGCCGACGGATAAAGACTTAGGGATGTATCTGGACATGACATGTGGTAAAGTACAGTCCAACAAAATAAAAATTTATGCAGACTTGGGAAAATGAGACTACTGGACTTGGGAATTTGAGACTACTGGGGATGCAGGCCGAAAGGACCCACGGTATCAAAGGAGAAGTATGGCGAGAGTTGTCTTGGTTGCACCTACTCGCCAGGACAACGCCCGCGGCCAGATGGCCGGGACAAAATTTCGGGCAGAAGAAACGGTGGCGAGTACGTGCAACCAGGACACCGAATCGCCACAAATTCGCAAAATTTCACTCTCCACAAAACCGACACGATTTGTGCCGTGTGGAGAGTAGTGCAACTAGGGCCTTTAGAAAAAATTCTAGAATTGACCTAGAGTTGTCGGAGTCTGGAGTAGAGACAAGCCTACCAGTGTTGTCACAGTAGAGGTGGTTGTCGGCCCAAACATGAGGCACACGCACGATTTTCTAGAGGGGGGCAAGGGACCAGCTGAGCACATTGGAAAAAACAGTCGTCGCAGGCAGGCACTCTAGACCGGTCTAGAGTGTGCAACTGTGGGTACCTCTGACAACTCTAGAATACATTTTTCTAGACAACCGTTCTAGAGCGCTCTTTACTCTAGACAGTTCCTTGAGTAAATTCTGATAACTCTGGAACGAAATTCAGAGAGCTGATTTCTAAAGTAAGGGCCTCGCCGCACCAATGTCGAAACATCACGAAACTCGACATATGTCACGAGATTTTCGACATTCCCTCTTTCAACAGAAAACCCCTCTTCGCCACGCAACATGTAAAAGTGAAGAACTCGCAAGTCCTGTGCACAAAAGAGACAAACTGGGGTGAAGATAAGACAAGCGTTGGTGTGTTCTCTTTTTCGACATTCGGGCAAGATTTCGACATCCCATCCGAGGACTGTTGAAAATGTCCAAGTTGCAGGCCGGGAAACGAGCCCGTCTCGAGAGGAGGTGTCGAAACCCTTTCCCTGACAGCTCCTGCTTTCTTTTTGCATCTCGGATTTCGACATGCTGTGTGGCGAGGAGAAAATGTCGAAAATTCAGTTTTCGACATTGGTGTGGCGAGGCCCTAAGTGGAGAAATTCTCCACGCGAGATTTTTGTTGAGTCTAGAGTAGTGGAGCAAGACCCAGAGTTGTACTTTTTCCCTGTCTGTAGCGAAAGTGACAACACAGCGAATGGGGAGGGTGAGGGTTGGAGGGGAGGGAGGGAGGGGGGCGGGGATGCAGGTGGGCCACGCACTCGCACTCGCGTGCACGCGCGCAAGAGAGAGAGAGAGAGAGAGAGAGAGAGAGAGAGAGAGAGAGAGAGAGAGAGAGAGAGAGAGTGTGATGTTGTGACCGTGGAAGCACAATCAGTTTAAGGCCATGACTCCCCAGCTTAGTCATCATCCATACACCATCTTCAATCACTTTACCACGTGGTACTTACTTCGCATCCGTGTTTCCACCCCGCACTCTTACATCACCTTGCATTCTTCCACCTATGACAGTAGTAGTTCGGCAGCGGAGTTGGAGAGAGGGTGTGATGCACTCGGCAACTACCGCGCACCTATGGCATTGAGAAGCAGGACACGTCGCAGCTGATGGTTTGAGACTCCCATCGCAAACTTTCCCTCCGAGCCTCCTCTTCTTTTCTTTTCTTTCCCACTGAAAGCAAGGGCAGCGACAATAAGGTGCCATCATCGCCAACTCCTCGACGGCGACAAAGGGGTGTCATCATCACCTGCTCCTCGAACTGACCAGGTCCAGGATATAAACAGTGATTTCTTTCATCTGATCACAGGGGTATTTGACCAAACAGGGATAATTCGTAGAAAGTGCCCAGGGCAAAACCTTTTCCGTTTTGGGCGCCCAAAGTTGGGCCGTTTGGTACTACTGGCCCATTGTTTTCCATGTGGGGTACTATAGGCCAACGCGTATAAGGATAGAATGAGGCCCATGTACCGTATTTTGAAAAAGATGGTCAGTCATATATGCGAGGCTATGTCCGCTCAGCCCCTTCGGGGCCCTTTTTGCAGCATGTCGGCCGCCCTAAGTGAAGGCAGGCGCGACAGGCCCTCAGGGCCTCGATTTTCAGGGTACCCCGCAACTGGTGAAATTCACACAGTTGCGCTGCGCCAGTTGGTTGAAGGCGCCCAGGCCCAGGCCATATTTTGCAAAT